CTCATTCTCTCTCTCACAAATAAAAAAAAAAAGAAAAAAAAATTTATGTAATAGAGCTGCAGATATTACTATCGGAGATGACATGTTGCTAACTTCACTTCAGGTATTCTTGTTCTGCTCTTCTGTTCTGTGTAGGCACAATTTAGGATGAGAGTCTTCTCTACCTCCTACGTGTGGAATTCACTGTTGATGTCTGTTGATGCTTTTTCGCAAAAATCAAGTTTCAGACGCCCTGCAGCCCATGGAGGGGAGGGTTCAGTGGTCAGGGGCTGAGCAGTAATTCCTGTTAGCTGCCAGTGGTGCAGAAGTAAGAAATACTGGGAGTGGAGCCCCCAGAAGTTGCATCTATAAATGCTTTTTTTGGATTTGACACAGTGTCAAAGTTATGGTTGCAGGCATTGTCTGCTGTTTTTTGTTTTTCATTATCATGGGAAAACTGACAGCTAAACTTTTTTAGATTTCAGTTAACTTAGAACATGGGACTCTTAACCTTTTTTAACCTTTTTTTTAATTAGCAAGGATCCCAGCAATGTTTTTTTAGCTCTAGAGGAGATAAGATTACTCCATCTCCTTACAAGATCAGTGTGTATTTGGTTGGGTGTCTTGGGGGTATGCTTTATACGTGTGTGTGTGTGTGTGTGTGTGTGTGTGTGTTTTGAGGGGAGTGATCCCTCATAACGGATATGCTGCAACATCCAGGCTCATGAGTTGTGGAAATTGTGGGGAGACCTGGATTCTTGTGTTTTCTTTCTCCTGCCTCAGCTCTAACTTCTCAGTACTCTTGACTTTCTTCATGAAGGGAACATGGAAGAAGAAAGAAAAGTTGCAGAGTTACAGAAAAATATGACACAGGTAAGTAGGAGCTAATTATTCTCCAAAAGAATTTTCTATTCCACCAGGTCCTTGACCTCCTAATTGTTTAGAGCAGTTGTTAGTGATCTATTTCTCTATTGGGCCACATTGTAAGTGTCTTAGGCGTTGAAGGCTAAAGAGTTTCTATTGCAATTAAACCACCAATTTAGTTTGAAAGCAGCCACAGACAGTACATAAACAAATATTTTATTGTGTTCCAATAAAACTTTACGTAAGCAAATAGTAGGCTGGATTCAGCCCATGTGCTATAGTTTGCTGACTCCTGGCCTAGAATACAATATGGCCAGCTGTGGGCCTGAGGTGAAAGTTATATTTCTGCAAGCTCCTGGGCCTCAGGTTTGTGGGAAGATAGATAGATAGATAGATAGATAGATAGGGAAAGAAAGAAAGAAAGAAAAGCTCCCTGTTCCTCAGTGTGTTTTTATGCATTTAAACCTCACTTGGATTTGACCCAGTCTTTCATGTTGTGCTGAGTGCTGTGGTGGGAAAGAAGGAAGCAGGTGAAATTTTTGTGTAACAAGGAATTGCTGGTGTCCGTGTGGAAATTATTTCATCTCTAGAGCATTTCTGTCATTTCTTGTAGGCTCTGGACTGTCCTGGATCATAAGATTGGAAATGGTCACCATCAAACTGTGCAAGAGATAAATTTGGTGTTTTAGAAGTGTGGTTAGATACATAGACTGTATGGGGTCAGTTAGGAAGGATGTAATGGGTATAAAGAGAAAGATCTGGTGTCTGAATTCTAGGGTAGATGTTGGGAGACCATAAAATCTTCAGAACTTCCTGTGAATTGATTCTCAGTTTCCCAGTATTAGCAACCTCATCAATCTTCCTGCACATGTGGGGAGAGTGGGCACCTTTCTGAAAAGAATATATGTGGGATGTTTTAGGACTCTGTGGTCTTTGAGGATGTGGCCGTGGACTTCACCCAGGAGGAGTGGGCTCTGCTAGATTTTGCTCAGAGGAGCCTCTACAGAGATGTGATGCTGGAAAACTTTCAGAACCTGGCCTCCCTAGGTAAGAATGGCAACGTTCCTTCATTTAGTTGTTTAGAAAACAATCTTACTAATTGACCTTGTTCTAGGATTTAGGCTGAGGAATAGGAATGAATTGGTAAATAAGACCGACATGGTCACAGACCCCAAGGAACTTTAAGTCTAGTGGCTTCACCATGAAAATAAACATCTGTGTAGTGAACTGCCTTTTTCTTTTTCTTGTGGTTAAAAGCCTTGAGGCTTATTAAGTATTGAAAGTGCTGGCATAGACTTCAGGGGTCACTTTGGGCCTTAGGGAGGTTTATGGTTTGGGTCCTTATGAGAATTTTAATGATGTCAATGGTCTTTACTCAGAAACATACATGTAAGCAAGAGGGGGGTTATTACTCAGTGCAGGAAGGGAGAACGTATGACATGGGGAACTGTGGTGTGTCTCAGAAAGAAGGTGTTAAAAAGTACATATTATAGGGTTTGTACTTTGGGTGAGTGATTTGGGGATGGGTCTGTGGAAGTAGGCTGTATTGGTTTCCTAGGCCTTTTTTTTTTTTTTTT